AATTGCTGTTCAATCGTGTGTGTTTCAGTTGTATTGTTCGGGTGTGTATGAATAAATTGCTTCCTGGATGGAAGTATGCAGTTTGAGAATTTTAAATTGAATGTCGTCGAGCATAGTTCCCCGAGACTGCCAGCTTCTGTCCCTCATCAATCAAGCTTTTGTTCCGACTTTCGAAGAAAATGCGGAATATTTATGCTTGGTGTGGGTTTTTATTCAGTCAATTTTGACATGTTAACTACGCGTTTTTGACGGAATTTATTTGTACCATTTGAGAGATATTGTTGTCCTAGGCTCAAATTTAAAAATATATTTCCCCTGTGATCATTTTTCGTAAATTTAGAGGCGTTTGAAAACTGCTGATTTGGCCAATTCGGGATTATTAAAGTGCGATATCTTGCGTACTTATAACACGAGAAAGAAGCAAAATAATGCCTTCCAAATTGAATTGAGGCCAGCAATTTAATCCTGTTATCACAATACGAGACGCTAAACACACTTTTAGTATTTTACATTGTGGGGCATAAAATGAAAAACAAACTTAGTTGAGCCAAAAAACTTGTCAACTGGCCTTAAGTGCAGTCGAAACATTCAGGGCTTTGCCCCGATATACGAGCAGTCTTGTTTAGCTTTAGTGAAAGCCTTACTGACAAATAAAGGGCGTTATCCGTGAATTAATTCCTGATACGAACTATTGTCATCATGTATGAGTTCAAGTTTGTCTGTTTTTTTTTAGATAACGTCCAGTAGTTACTAGGTAAATGTGGTATACGGGACTAACTAAGTGTTTGCGTAGTGATCGTGGGTATAATCCCCACATAGTCTTTTGAAGTCTTGTATTTTTCCGATTTATTTCGTTTTTTTTTTCATCCGAATTTCGACTTATTTGTGCTCGGGGTGGTTCTTATATATTTGGATAATTAATGTAATATATTTGGATTTGGGCAATATGTTTGGATAATTAATGCTATTTGGTCTATTTAATTCTTTGCAATATGCGAAATCTATCACTTTGTTCTTTACATAGCGTATAGGGGGGTGAATTTAAAAAACACTCTCATTAAGTTTTGAGTTTTTTTTCACCGTAGAGAGCAAGTGACTTGTAATCGGGAGCTTGTATTTTTTTCCCTTGAACAATTTTTTCCATTTTCTGTAAGAAATGCGTGCAGTTAGTTAGTAAAGTTTTTTTTCACGTGCAAAACGTACAAGCTGACATTGACAGTTCAAATAAAATTACCTCTTAGAGTTTTATTGGTGGTAATTAGTTTTATTTTGAAAAATATTTTTTGAAATATATTTATTGAAAAATTTTAGATTTTTTTTTTCGAATTTGTGAATTCATCCTAATTTCTGCCGGCTGATTTTCCGTTTGCCAAAATTAAATTATATTATTCGGTACGCTTTGCAAGCAGTTGCCTTCCAAGGTTTTTATTAAACTGTTTTTTTTACTGAAATTGGAAGTTGTTCTGTAGTTACCTGCTCTAATTTTGAACAATTGTATTTTTTATTTTCGGTTAAACGGGTTCAGCCTGTGTTATATCAGCTTAGTGAGCCAGCATATATTCTGTCAACTCAAGAGCGATTTTTTAGTGATGTGGGCGTATTTCGAGAGGGATGGTTTGTAACAATTTGCAGTTTTAAAATTTGATAGCTGTAATTTTTATGACCTCAGTTTCGTCGCCTCTGTTGCCTCTCGTCCATTGATTCTCAATGCTTGTTAAGGCTGTTTGTGATCATCTATCGAGACAAAAGTCGGAAATTTTTTACTTATTTCAAGTACTTTTTGCAGCTCAGTTTTTCAAAAGTATGGTTGATTTGGGACAATTAACGCGAGATGTACATCGCACTATTAACTCGTAAGCGGCGATTTAATATGTCTTAGTAATTGTTCCAAGTTGGCTGAAGTAGGCTTTTTGTTATAATTGCTACGTTACTAGGAGCGAAATCTATGTGTGTGGGGGGATGATTTACAAAAGTTAAAACATTCATCAGTTTTATTTAAGCAAGCGGTGCTTCATAAATTTTAAATGGCAGTCGGAACATTCAGGGCTTCGACCTGATACGAGCAATCTTGTTGAGTTTTTAGAGCCTCTTTTACCTCTTTGTTTGTTAGTGTTTGCGAGGTACAGTTTTGCCTTTTTATTGGCTAATTTAACGTTCTATCTCTCGATTATTCGGCTATGAAGCACAGCCCCTGAAGCCGCAGCAGTCCTACGTTGATCGGCTTTTCTGTAAACAGTTGAATAGGAAACGTGTTAATGCTTTTGAAACTTGGGTTTTAACATTTCCGTGCAACAACCAATTAGAGGATGGAACAAACATTAAGCCTTCTTTATACCCTGTCTTCTTATTGCTTCAACCACGTAGTGCGAAGGGTTTCTGCAATCGGGTGTTTTTTAATACATCAAGTGAATTAAAAATGGATTTTTTTGGCTTCAAGAAGCACACTTAATTGGAATGCTACTATAGTTGTAAAAGGACGATATGTGAAAAAATTTATCGGTATCAAAAGGGGTTAAATTGTTGTGAGGTTATCTTGTAACGGGATGATACAGAAGGGAGTGTAAACATAAGGGGTTAAATAACGCGGGGTCAAGTAGTGGGACACTGTTTTTCCTTGGCAAAATCGGGTTCTGCAGAGGCAAGGCACGTACGAGGTCGACCGATAGGGCTCCCTCCTCCACGGTTGGTCCTGCACTGACCAGGACTGGGAGCTAATTAATAAAAGCGATATTCTAATTGAAGCCTGTTCGATCTTGATTTGGAGTTTTACTGCTACTGCCGTGATGAGTTCCGAAAATTGATTCTGGTGTCAAAAAATTGCTCTGACTGTGTTCGCTGGATGCAAAATGTTGTGAAAATATTGTTTTTTTTTAAATTAAAGTGGGGTAGGAGCTTTCTGGGATCTACTCAAGATTTACCCTCCCCCTCCCGCCTTCAAGAAAGAGGGGGTATTGATAAGTAGATTAAGTTAGTCGAGTTTTTGACCAATCAGAATGCAGCAAATTCGAATTATAAATGGAACGCTCTTGTGCTAATTTACTGCTTTTCTTTATAGGGGTGGCAGTTTTTTTAGTAGCTACTAAAGGGGGAGTTTCGTGCTGCGATGTCTAAAATAGTTCGAAGATAATAGTGATGCTTGTGCGTGTGCGAGATGATGATATCGCATTTCAATTTTTCGCAATGAAACCGTACAAATTTTTTAAGTGTTTGATTAATATTTTTAAAATATATCGTCACAATTTGCTGAAAGGATGTTGTTTTGCAATTTTAACATTTGAGTAATAAATGAGATTGAGTTAAATTTGAGAAAGTTAAGTTTGAGAAAGTTAGATTAAGATAAGTGTTTAAGTGGGCATCTGAAATTTGACGTTCCAATATCTGGTAATTTCCCTTAAGTGGCTTGCTAATTTTTGCAATCGCCCACGCAGATGGTACTTAAATTTACATTAAGTTGAAAAAATCAAAGTTGAACTATCGGCATGACCGGTTCTCATTTTGTACAGAGGAGACCAAGTAAAGATCTTCTTTCCCGCCATCGCATTTGTATTTAAGTTACCTCTAGATTTATGCAGATTACTGGTTTCTGATTACTTCTAGAAATAGCTTCGTAAATTAAGCTCAAAACAAAATTAAGACCCCTTCAAGGTTGCTGTAGGGATCTTATATTGATCAGAGCTGTATTTTGCCGTGTGGGTTAATTGTAGCTTTCGCCATAACCTAATTTTGGGACTAACTTGACAGTGTTCCATTCACACTACTATCATGACATTATTTACTACTTGATCAGAATTAGCATAATATTCTTGAGGATACTAGATTAGATTTAGGAGACAACGCTGTTGCCTGTGGTAAGAACAAACTCTAAATCCCCATTTATCCGAGCAGGAACTCAAAGTGTTCAGGCAGTTCTCTGTTGACAATGATCAACTGGCGATTAAGTTACCATCATAATGAGTGTACAGAAAATAAAGACTATTTACTTTCTACTCGAATAAGCACAGTTTAAATTATATCAGATAGATTAGGTTTGCCCTCGAGTACGGAGGGTAGTTAGGGTTCTGTTGTATGCTGAGGGGGTTGGGGGTTTGAGCTACTTATTTATGCTTATTGAGTTCTGTCCCAGTTCTGATCAAAACGGCAGAAATTAGAATTAAATATTGTCATTTATCTAATTTGTGAGCCTCATATGTGTATTGAATATCTCCTGCTGGGTGGCAGAAATGAGAAATTAACGAGTTTCAAATTTCTACCTAGAAAGGCAACGTGAATTAGAGACGGAAATAGGAGTGAGAGTGGGAGGGGGGTTGAGGTTGATAGAGGCAAAAGGGGACTAGAACCAGACCCTTGTAGGTGGTGGTGGTGGTGGTATCGATTTGTGACGCACAGACATGAGGGTTGTTTTCCAAATTTGAGCCTGAACTACTTGATCCCTTTTCTCTACTCCCGTCCCTGGCTAAGTAAGCTATCGAGTATTACATGATCGTGTGTTTATCCGCCAGGTTGGTATAGCTGGCAACTGGGAAGGCATTATCCCCTTTGAAGTGCAGTATTTCTATAAATTCGCAAATTACCACAAAGTAAATTTACACACTAAGGCCGAATTGGGCTCAGTGGAAATTAGAGGGAATCTAAAATCCTGCAGCGGTCAATAAATAGAGACCGAAAATTGAGAGAAACAGCAATATTCAAACCAAAATGCTCAAATTTTGCAGTTAGCAAACAATTTGATTTGCGAATTAAGTTTCATCTACTTAATAATATAATTGATGGTACGTTTCTGTTGATTTTTGTGAGTACTCGTCAAAGTATGTCTATTGAGACACAAATGTCAATGCATTATGATTATCATTTTAATTGCTTCGGTGGTACTCAAAATGGTTTCAAGTGTGTTTTCGCGACGGCAACAGAATCCATTATGATTTTTTGGTAGAGTCTTCTCAATTAAAATGGTCTGAAAGTGATTGAGGGTGCGAAATGTAAATTAAAATCGTGTGTTTTAGGTGTCTTTCAAGTTCGAAAGAACCATTCTTTACTTCGTGCTACAGAGCTACGTACCAGCCACGCTCATAGTCATGCTGTCTTGGGTCAGTTTCTGGGTGGATGCCAGATCGATCCCCGCCCGGGCCGCCCTCTCCATCACCACAGTGCTGACCATGATCACCCTGACAGGAACAGTGAACAGTCAGCTGCCGAAAGTGTCCAACATCAAAGCACTGGACGTCTACTTCGGCATGTGTTTCTTCTACGTATTCGCCGCTCTAATTGAGTTCTCAGCTGTGTGCTATCTCGATAAAAAGAGCCAGAAAATAGCAGAGCGAAAAAAGGAAGAGGCGAACTTGAAGAAAGCTCAAGAAGAACAAGAGATGAAAACTTTCGCTCTTCTAAAAGAGGTCGACTGTCTGACCTCTCAGCCCCCCAACGATAACTTATCAAATCAACAGCCAGGGTTCGGATCAGGAAGGGGCGGCAACCCCCTCCAGCCGTTCGAGCATGTAAACGGGGGGACCAACTCGCACACTTATGCGCCAAACTCAAATTATCAATCGTCTGCGGGAACGCAAAAACTCACACTACAACACGAATACAGTTTCAAAACACAAAAAGCGCCAAAGAGACCCTTCAATGTTCTTAGGGTTGATAACTATTCGAGAGTAGTGTTTCCTACGACCTTCATGATTTTGAACTTGATATACTGGGGTATTTATACTAATTTAGTGAAGAATATTTAATGTTGAAAAACTGTTAGATAAGTAGAATTCCGTTGTATGTGTTAGATATGAAAATTAAATCTAGATATTTGATTTTTAATTGCAAATAGACTGCCATTAAATGTATGTTTGTGGTTAATGATAATTGTAATTCATATTTCTCTTTTCATCTACAGTTTTGCCTGAACTGAGACGTTAGCCAAAATATTGTTGAGAATATCTTTGAACACTTGAAGGGCGCAGTTTGTAGGAACCGATCTCAAGAAAACGCCGTGAAGTTCGATAAGATGAAGAAAATCTGTATTCGGTTTCAGTTTTCCGATTAGTAAGTTTCGAAAGTTGTTTTGAACTGAGCTTCTAACGAAGGATTGCTCTCGGTTGTTGAAGGTCATGAAGAAACCATTTCTGTCGGCCGGGTAATCAATGCGTTCGAATTTCCTACAGTTTTCAGAGAGGGTAATAGCGCATACTATTTTATAAGGTCCGCTATCATAGATAGCGAACAAATACCCCGACTGAAACAAAACGCATGATTGTTTGACATACGACATTAAATTTGGAAGAATTTTGTCGTTGGAGTTCTTCGTTTTAAGTTTCCAGCTATCGTCATAATATGAAGGAACTATTCCAAAATAGCCAGAACTTCGGTCAATGAACAGGGCTTGAACCAAACCTGGCCACCCAAATTTGGGTTGTGTCAGAAATAAGAAGTTAGCATTAATAAGCGACTGTTTTATAACTGCGGCGCAAATTGATCCTCTAGAAATCGTTCCTGGTTTCTTGGAATTTGAGCTATCGTGAATGAATTTATTGATAGAATTGACTAAATCTTGTTTCTGAGTTAACATAATGTCATCTGTGGCTACAGATAAGATCTCTTCTGGCGAGAAATATTTGTGATACTGCGTTTGGATCAATCTTAAAAGATCAGTTACGTTTCTGTCTAAAACTGGAAATTCGGCCAGCGAAGGTAATCGACTGTATCCAGTGGCGTTGAACGATTCCAGTATGTAATTGAGAGTTTTAATGTAGAATATACTTCCGCGACTCCATCCAACAAGCGAATCCCAGGAGCTGCGAACGTCTTCACAAAAACCAGGAGCTTCGGAATGCAGATTTAGTAGCGTTCTAATCTCGTCATTTATGAACGAAAAGGACAACGAGTGTTGGTTTTCTCGCGGGAAAGAAGCAGTTAGTAAGTCGCGCAAAGCAAAAATAAGTTTACACATGCAGATTGCGTGCTTGCGTAGCTGATATTGACGGGATTTGTGCTCAAAAAATGCGAGTTCAACCTCAAGTAACGAAGTTTTGACCAATGTCAGATTCATAGGCACTAAAAATCCGTTCAAGCCGGAGCGAACGAATACCGTTGAGGTGTGCACAGAAGGCGTAGTAAGATAGTTTTTCTTGAGCAATGGATACCTCGGACTGTATTGAAGCGACTCGTTGGTAACAATTGGGGAATTATTGGCTGTCAAATATGACGACGAAGATTCTTCTAGATTCTCCAGCATCGATTCACGAGCATTGTCTTCCTCAGTTTCGGTGACTTCGGTGATTTTTCTGGGTAAGTTCGGAAGTATTGCGTAATTTTTCCATTTCGTAAAATTTCGGTTCTCATCTCCGCGACATTTCGTGGCTGAAAATTCACCACTAAGCTCACAGGAATTCGCGCCAGCCAATGTTAAAGTTTCTCGTCCTGATAAAAACGGATCGTACTCAGAAAACTCGATAGATTTTTCGACTTCGTGGAAATCAGTGTCCGAAGGAGATAACTTTTCAGCAGCTTTTTCTGCTGTTTCTTTTTCACAAGGATCGGAGGGAACTGGTACGTAAGCAACGGAGTTCAGACTGTTTGTTTTCTTTCTTAGAGGTTTAATCGAAAACTCGACAGACGTTCTTTTGAAGCTAGACGGCAGGCTGGAGATCCGAGTCAGCTTTTCAGCCGGTTTCTGCTTTACGATGGTGGGCTGCTTCGGTGATTCCTGAAACCAGCACGAAAAAACCTAGCTTGATAATCGAAAAGGTCTCGTCTCATTTTGGTCAATCGGCTTTTTCACTAAAAAAATGCATTCAAGGTTGCATTCAAGGTTTAAACATTAATGATCAAAGCAGAAAAAATATTTTATACATTCAAAAATTGCATTCAGCCGTTTTCTTGGATAGCTTGATTGGTTTTAAATTTGAGCTCCAAAAATCTAATTGTCATGCCTTAATCGGGATGATGTTTGAGAAATCAGATTGGTAATATTTTTTATTACTTGCCGCATGAAGAAGTAAACAAGTCGTCTAACAGAATCACTGAATCGTTTGATAGCTTGTTTCGTAATCACTTAAAATTTTGATTCTGAAGCTGCACGTTTAACTTAGAGGTAATATCCCTGCCAGGCGCTCCGTAGGCCGAAAGATTAAATCTGGCTTACAATAATTCATTTTTATGGCCTAAAATCTTACTATAGCTTCATTAAGGCCGCAAAAATTTAGTTTTACTTGAGTAACAATAGTTTTGGGTATTTAAGCGCCTTTTCGGAATAACAAACTTCAAAAATTCAAAAAATAAATTGCAAAAAAGTTATTGATTTTTTTTTGTTTTTCTAATATTTTGCTACAAAAAAATTGCTTTCCAAATTGGTTATTTTACTATGACTATTGAACACTACAAAGCTCTAGTTTTTGTGTTCAGATCCTTTTTTCAGACCATGCAGAAAAGACGACACTGTTTCGAAAAGGTAAATTGTGTTTTTTCAGACCGGAAGATTCTGTGGTACTTCCACAGTAAGCGGCTATCTTTGTTTTTTAAGAAAGTTTCAAAGTTATTCACACTCAAGTTTCAGCAGTATAAAAGTCATTTTCTTTTCTTTGATGAAGACAGCGGAATTGACGCAAAAAACGTGAATGACTGTTCAAAATGAACGTAATTACAACAATAGAAAAAGAAACAGTTTTCTCTACTTACGCGTCTATCTTAAAAAGTTCTTTGAAGTGATAGATTGAGTTCTGAAGTGATATTTTTTTCGGCATTCGCAAATTATCAAAAATTTATTATTTTTTTGGCTTCTCTCAGCTCATTGATACTTTAACAACTATTTCTTGCTTTATTTTGAGTTTTTTAATGTCTGTTGGCTATATTTTGCAGGATAAGGTTTTTTTTAGTTTTGAATGAACGTTTTAGCAAAAAAATGTATATAAGAAGTTTTTGTTCCGACCATTTGAAAAACAGGGATGAATATTTGTATTCAGGTGTGTTTTAGTTTGTTTTCTTTTTGTTTTCCTCACAAAATTAGGTACCACAAAAAATTAGGGGAATGGGTCGAATAATATATCAAGTTAAAGTTTTTTAGTCGTCATTCGAATGACATTAAAAAATTTACGAAATTGTCCCGGTATTGAAAGAAAACGGGTTTAAATTTTTTGATTTTTTGTCCAAGTTCGTGCGAATAATGCGAGCGAGCAGGCTTACAATAGCTTATTTTTGTTTTTTTTTAGGCCGTGGTTAGGAGTTAATTGATCCGAAAACAAAAAGGAAAAAGGAAAATTGTCATAAAAACTTTGAAAATGACCAATTTTTTGTGAGAAACAGTCACTAAATTTAATCAAAGTTTATATGACAATTTTCCTTTTTCCGTTTTGTTTTCGGATCAATTAATTTCTAACCACGTGTTGTTCTCTTAGAGTCTTAGACAGAACGAATCGATAGAAGCTCCCCTGCATTAGGAGCTACGCCCAAATGTTTTTACACCAAAAGTTCTGGCCCTCGGAGATGTCAACTTTTCGATTTTTTGACCGCTTTTTTTGAAAAATTTGACTTATAGTTCTCAAAAACTTCCCTCTCAAATCTGAGGCGGCGAAAATATGTTATACTTAACCGTTGACGTTTGGAACTGTTCCCCGTTTTTTTTCAAAAGAATTTGTTACTTCAGTAATTTTCAAAGTCATAATTTTTTGACCTATTTTTTTAGTTAATTATAAACCATCAAATTGTGAGCTGTGCAATTTTTGCTTGTTTCAATTTTTTATGCTGCCTGTTTTTGCATCAGTGCGTATTCTTTGAAAAAATAAAAGTTCTTCCAGCTTCAGCCGGTCTCTAATGTACTTTGCAAAAGCAACTGATATATCTATCGTGGTTTGTTTTTTGACTAAAGTTTCAGCTTATTGGATGTCGGCTTCAATTCTGTCGGCTTATTTACCGATTTTTTTCCTTGAAGTTTAGTACTTTTGAGATCGATAAGACACTGACACCAATTTTTGACTCACCTGTTTGAAAAAATTATAAAAATTCTTACACGAAAAAATGCTTTTTTGTTTTTTACTTTTTTTTTCATCATTTCTCCACTTCCTTCTTCAATAGTAACATTGTTTGAAGTTCTGTTTGCTAATTCTTTAAGCTTCTTGGTGCACTCATCCTATAATTGTTGTTAAGCAAGTGGTGCAAAGCTCAGCTTAGCTTCTGAGTTGATCTATCTATCATCAATTGTATATTTAAATGCATCTGTCGTGTATCTCGCCAAGCTTAAGCTTAGTCAACAACGGAATGTTTTAACATATTTAAGCAAAGACCGAAGTGCTCATGTTTAAGTTATTGTCTAAGTTTTGATATTACTAAAAAGGTTACGCGTAGTTGATCCAGTCTGATTAAGTAAACATGTGTCGGAGCATGTGTCGGAGATATTTACCCGTCTCTTTTTTGATCATTTAACATCGAACCCCATTTTCATGCAAGCGCTCCCTGAATGCGACGGTGTGGAAAGCCCAAAATGCTGCTAAGCTTGTACAATTTTGAATGCAATTCACTTTTTTTGAACTCGAAACAATAGAGCAGCGAATATGAAATCCAATAGTACAAAAATGATTTATATATTTGCAATCTTGAGAATTTGCCATCTTCGATTTATATATTTGCAATCACTGTGTTTCCGTAAATCAAAACTGTTTAGTTAAGACTTCTGTCGATTAACTTCGACATTCGAAGCAAAAAACTGTAAAATTCAGTGTTACAAAACGTGTTTTTGCTTTTTTTAGTGATAGCTCTTTTTGCTATTAAGGGCGAGGGGGGAGCGTGTAGTGCCGTTTAAGCGAGCGCAGAAATCTTCCTCCTAAAAAGTTCACTGACAAAGAAAAAAACTAGCCTCCTGTTGAGTTGATCCACTGTCTTCTTTTGTCTCCTGTGGG